AAAAACTAAATAAATTGGAATGTTGTACATTCATTTGCCTTGTCTCCTGAGCATGCTTTGGCATTTTTATTGAAACATTCGGCAACTAAGCATGTCCCATAATTGCGATATACGTACATATATCCCCACTATAATAAATTGCTTGATTGTAAGTTGAAATGCCGACCGAATGAAATACAAACCACAGAAACTTCAGCAGTTGTTCCATTACAAAATTTAATTGACCACACGATCAAAAGAATTTTATTACACCAAGATTACGTTCTATATCAGTTTGAAGGAAATAATGAAATAAGCTTTATTTTAAGCTATGGATTTGATGGCTCAAATGGACATAACTTATTAAAGCAAACATTTTTGGAAAACGCTCCGTTGGACGTTGGACCAGTCATCGTTTGTGAAATCGATGAATTCTTTTAAAATTAGTAATGCAGTCAGCTAAAATTGTTTGGTGGAATTCTACTCTCCAATCTATAAAATGTGACAAGATTTGCTATAAATTATTAATTTACACACCTTTTTTGTCATATACAGTCCTGGACCAAAAATATTCATGTCAACTAAAGACTTGAAATCACCAAGTTTTCGCTGCAGTAAAGCCAAGCCTAAATTACTGCTGCCCCCGCCCAGAAGTAATTTCTCTTTTAAGAATGCCTGACAGCCCTAATGAATGTGAATTACCTTCCACCTCCTCAAAAGCAGCTTTAGGTGATTAATAAAAGTTATATCGGAATATAAACAAAGCTATCCTATTTATGTACATATAGGTAATGTTTTAAATTAGATCCACATTTACAGTTTCCACTTTTAATGACAGCTATAAGAAAAAAATGGGCGTGGCTCTCCCATTTTCAATAAGAGACATAACTTTAACTGGAAATAGCCTATACAAAATTTCAGATCGCTAGCTCAGGTCCAACTATTTTATTCCTCAATAATTGAATTTTGAACCATAGTGCCTCAGTTAGAAAACACGTATGGATAAGTGCATAATTCATTTAAGGCGAATTCAAAATCAGCTAGCTTTATTTATCCACTCCGTTTTATATGAGCAGATTTTGTTTACTTTTGGGTACCATTTTATTGAGTGCGCTATATGTCTTGTGTCAAATCGGCTTTTGTTAGTGCGTTTCTTGCGTCGTATTTAAACTGATGATTAATTAAGTTGTAAGTTTTTTGTGTTAGGAAATTCGCAGTTTAAGGCGGTATGAATTTATTTATTAGTATTTAACTAAGAGGTTGTGAAGATGAATCCATAATTAAATTTTTGTCAATAAACAATGGCTTGACCGCGCATTGTAATTTCGATAGATTTAGGCCTAGGAATCAGAACTTCGTAAACCAAAATGTGTTCATTACCGCGAATTTCACTTAATTGCCTGTGCCTGTTACTTATAATAATGGCGTTTGACATATTTTCTTTACAGAATCCTGTTGCTCACTGCTGGTCTGAACCGACTCATCATAAAAAGAAATTCTGCACCGTTTGCCGTCGACGATTAGATGACAGTCCCGCTGTGCATTGTTTAAGTATGTTATCCATTTATTTGGTCTATATTTGTTCAAAATAGATGCCGTAATAGGTTTGTTTCCGTTTGAAGAAAATTCCACTTAAAGTACATAAGGCTACAATTTACGAAAATGAGTTCAGTCTTTTGGTCATATTTATGTTTACTTTAAACTTATCGCATAAAATTTACCAAAGTTTTTCTCACTAGCATTATTGAATAGGTTAATAGTGAAAACAAATATTTCTAAAGAAAGCGTCGTATGTAAATATAAACGAAATAGGACCATAAATATTAGTTTATCAAATATATCGACTCGTGCGCCATCTATCGTCCAAAATTTTAGTGGAGTTATTCCTTTTCATGTTGTTAATATACGTTCTACATAAATATGAACCAAGTCCGACTTGAAATGCAGGGTTTTCAAATATCTCAACTCCTGCGCGACCTATCGGATAAACTCATCTTTTGTATTACATTTCCATTGAGTTCTGATCCAACTGTGAAGTTTGAAGTCTCTAGGCCATCGGAAAGTTGGTCAAAAAGTGATTGCAAGATTTTTTCTTACAAACATACTTAAGTACATACACACATACAGAGCAAGTTAAATAAAGGCTTGAAATAACTGAAAAAAAATTGATTAAATGAGTTCGGGACTGATTTTACAATATTAAGTACATGTTAGCGATGAAAAATAAAAAGATTTTGAAGCTTTAAGCCCTGAAAATATTTGTATGTCGTCTTGTGCAACCAAATGACAAGTAAATTTTAAGCAAAAAAAACAAAACCGACTCTAATTCTCATAAAAAATTTAAGATTATCGTTAATTTCCTTATGATCTAATGATCGGATCTAAACAAAATTAGTACAAGACCACCTCAGAGGTAACACCTTTCCTTTAAAAGAATTATAGAAATCGGTTACCGTGGTCCAAAGTTATGCGGTAACATACATAAAAAAATATATATTCCGACGAATTGATAACCTCCTCCTTTTTTGGAAGTAATTTCTCATATAAAAATTTATGAGTACCGTTAATTTCTCCATAATCTAATGATGGGATATAAACAAAATTAGTATGGGACCACCGCGGAGGTACCACATCTCCGTAATACCTTCTCTACATAACCTTCTCCTTTTTTTTGAAGTCGGTTAAAAACATAACAACTGACTTCAGTTCTCATATAAAAATTTAGGAAAAAAAAAAGAATTATCGAAATCGGTTGAAGAGGTTCAAAGCGTTAACATACATAAAAAAAAATATTCCGATGGATTGAGAACCTCCTTGTTTTGACGTCGGTTGAAACTGGAAATAACAATTTTTTTTTTATCGAAAAAATAAAACTCATGCTATTAATATTATGAATATTATTGAAAAAAATAGTGACTTAATGCTTCTTTTTTTACTTTTCATGCAAGGATGCAAGTTATCTTAAAAAGTTCAGCAAATTTCTTTGCAATCTTTATTCAAAAACTTTAAGAACCTCATTCGCTGATACATGTACTATTAAAATCATTCGGTTGACATTGATAAGAGAATTTTTCAAAGGCTTCTTTTCGTAAAACTTAAGGTACTAAAATCCACTACATAAATACATAAATTTCATACGTATATGAGATTGAACTATGAAACGAGAAAGGGAAAGCTGCATGGAGACTCATCTGCACGATCTTTTTCGGGGATTCTTCTGAAATGTCTATGGAAATAAACAAAGCAAGCGCGAGAGGACTTGATATATGTACGTGAAATAATTCTCATGAAATTAAGTACTTTACTGAGAAGATGGTTTAATTTTTTAATATAAAGTGGAAAGCAATTGTTCAACAAATTTCTGGAAATGTAGGTGCATATGTACATACTTTCAAGTTAGAAAAAGGCATTTTTAAGTAACAAGAGAAAAACGTATGTATGTGTAAACCTACTAGTTGTCTTAATTTTGATAGAAAATAGGTATTGTTCGTCCTCAAGCCAGACAATGCGGGAACAAATCTAAAAACATATTTCCTCACTGGCTTACTATTCCAGTATCAAGATGTTTTAATCAACAGTGTTTTTTTTGTCCCGTTCTCTCCGCAGTTTGCGAATATTTCGCACATATTGAGTGCCAAGATTTTGCTGTGCCTGATTGCACTGAGAATGCGACGTACGTGCCTGGCAAGGAATTGCAGAGTGTAAAACATCAGGTAAGTGTTGCTTCTGGGCTTTTCCCATTAAATAAATCTCCAATCAGTTAGTTGCTACTCGTGGATTAATGTATTCGGGAATCTTTCAAAACATATGAAATTGTTTATGAGATTTCCAAGGCATCAGTGTAAAAGAAAAATTAAGCAGTTGCAAGAAATGCTAAAATCAAACTTGAAACAGTTAACAATAATAATTTATAATAATAATTTATTATTCACATGAGAAGTGTAAAACATTATTTAACCTTAGTTCGAAATAAAGTCCCCAAAAAATATGATAAATAAGTCGAGGCTGTTGTGTCCTTGCTCCTTTATTTAAATACGTTGTCTACTTGTTGTACACAAATAGCATCACTGGCGGGAGGGCAATCTACCACCGACGTCCAAATGCGCCTACTGCAAGAAAACGTGCTGGTCATCGGAATGCCTGACAGGTGGGTAAAAATCATAGCGACACTGCATGCTTTGGTAAATTCATTTATGGATGGATGGCGTCATATGTATGTATATATATATATATTTGTTTTCATTACCACTATGTAGGCTACCGCTGCGAGTGGTGTGGCATGACAACACATGGAGGATGTAGAATGTACCTGTCGACCGAATGTAATTTTGGTGTACTCCAACCAATCTACTTATCCCCACATTCGGTCTCTATACCGCGCACCGAGGTGCCAATTGAAGCTATCATAGGCGTACAAGTCAAATCAAAAACTGCATTAGTACGAGACTACTCGTGTCGTAAGTATATATACATATACATACACATAATTATAAAATAATAAATGTAGCATTTTCTATAACCCTAACTTTTGACGATTTTATTAGTAAAATAGTTACTCTTTTTATGGCCAATCACACTGAAGAGACGCTAAAACAAACAAAAAATAAAAAAAACGACGAGACACCTAAACTTAATTTTGTATATCGTTTTTCTAAATCAGGCCATTTTCCAAAGATATTTTCATTTTAAGTTGCATCGTGAATAAAAAAATGTGAACTTTAATCGGGAAAAATACGCCATTTCATATTTACGTGGCCATACTCGTACATTAGGGGGCACAGTGGTTCAGAGCTCACATTTAGCACGAAAAAATTCGTATCTCCTATAAACCGTGACCGATTTTGCTCAAATGACAAGCATATTAATCTGCTTTGGAAGGGACACATTTGAAACTAAAACTAGTTTCGATACCTCTTCTGGTACCGGAATTATAGCTTAAAGTACCATCCGTTAAATTATAAAAAGTATGACAATATGGAAGTGAAGTAAAAGGTAATTGGAAATATTTTAACATAGACATATCTTCGGGTTGCGAAACTATCAAAATTTTAAAGTTATTTTACAGTATTCGTTTTCATAATTTTTGCGAGAGAATAGAGAAATTTTTATTAAACATAAATGAAGTTGCAAGTATTAAGTACATTTTTACGTTTTTTCAATACTCATATAAAAAATCCAAAGTTGTTTCTTTATCATAATATTTTTGTTTCGATGCAACTCTATTTTGTTTTCAGAAAAAAACTAGCTTCAAATTTATAAAAACGAAACGTGAACACTACACAAATTTGTTGCAAGTAATTTTTACAGCATACGAATTATACGAGTTTTCTCATAATTCACTAGAAAATTTTAAACATTTTATAACCTATTTTAATTATAGTTTAAATAAAAATCGACCATCGACTTTAAGAACAGCCACCTAAGACTCTGTTCGGCTGAAGAAAGAGTGGCTTAAAAAGAACACTAAAAGTTCTTTACATATATTAATAAGGGTATATAGAAGCAAAAACAGTTCAGAGCAAACTTTCCAACTCCTTTTTAATATGATGGAATCTGAAATACTTTACTCAATTAGTTTCAGACAAAAAATTTAAGTTAAGAATTAACTGGAGTCAATACCGCTAAGTGTGCTAAGTATCAGTTTCATTAAGTAATTCAGTGTGTGGCGCTTTATGCAGATTCATCGCATCTAGCTTCAGTTTTTTTTATTTTTTCCGCATTATCCTTGTAAGCTTAATTCAGATATTTATTTTTTTAATATTAGCTATAGTTTGCGAATTTTTGCAAATTTGGGAATAATTTCCGTAGCTTTAATAGAAAAGCCATTATTTTCCATCATCGTGGAAAAATTTTGTTTATGCAAATGTGTATGGAAACACTGAATAGGCACAACTTCTAGAAACACTAATTAGTTTACTTATGTTTATGCATACAATATAAAAATTGCAAAATTACAAAATTGGAAAATTACAAAATGTTTTGTTAAAATTTTTTTTTTATTTTAAAATAATTTGGTTATAATCTGAAAGATGTTCATCATATTATTATCATAAATCAGTAACAGTAAGTCTCGCATTCAATTTGGTAATTATTACGTACAGATCGAGTAACATTTACCAAAATTGCATCAAAAAAACTTAAGTGGTTCTCCAGTTTTTTTCTAAAAAAAAATTTCTCTTCAGTTGTATTAATAACTTTTAAATAAAAGAACCGAATCACGGAAAAGTGTTCCTGGGAGTGACTTTTTTCGTACAAGTTTAATGCAAAGCACTATCACCCAATTGGATAGTCCTCAAAAGGATTTCCCCGGATATGTTAAAGACTATTGCATTCATCTACAGTCACTTTCTCACATAATGGAGTTAACTAAAATATTTATGTATATCTAAACACTGGTTGCACTGCACGTCCCCTACTTTCATATATCGGCAAATTTAGAAACCGCGAAATACGTGCTTCTTCGGTGACTAATGAAACCATTCTGTACCAATTTTCAAGACTACATAAATGGACTTAAAATGGGCGTTCATGACCCTAACTGTATTATGTTAATATATGTAAATACGTATAGGCTTACAACATTTAACTTATCAAACGATTCCTAATCTTTGACAATACATGTTTGATCAAATTGGAGTGACCAAGTCCATGGTCCTTTTAATAATATATGAACATCCGAAAACATTTAAAACGTTTGAAATAAATCTCGTCTCACTTTTTTGTATTTTTCACATGGCTACTGAACTGATGAAGAATTGAAAATTCATAATATTAGAGTTTTTGTAAGTTTTATCTTAATGTCTTAAAAACTTGAAGACTTATTGAAAAATTACAAATGAACGTAGGGTACTAAATTTAATAACCCTTAATTTGATATATCGTCCTGTTTATAACAACTAACGCATTCCATAGATTTTACAAGCCAAAGTTTAATTTTTAAAATTCATACACTTTGATTCAATTGCGCAGGCTAAAGATAAGTTTTCAATTAATCTTTCGTCGCCAATAACAATTGGCTTAGACCTAAGACATCATAATATTACAATTACAATACGGTGAAATGCCTTTTGTTTTGCCCCTTACAAAATCGACCCAGCCTATCGTACATATCAAAGTACTCGTACATGGCTTATGAGTAACATTCTTGCCTGCTCATATTTCATTCACAACTTTCTTATTTATCCATCGATTTTCTTCATTAGTAACTTTTTTGTAAACGAACAATTTGTATAAATGAAAAAAAACCGTAAAAAATCTGTTATTTTGAATTTTTGTCATTCACGTTGTAAATTAAAATGGAAATATCTTTGCAAAATGACCCGAAGTAGAAAAACGGTATACAAATCTGTAATCTACAATCCAAAATTAAGTTTATATTTTTACGTTTAAATATAGGGAAGCTTCGGTTTTGGTCCAGAGGTATGATCGATTTTTTAAAAAGTGAAACATCTTATTATTTTTGAATTCACTATATTAGGCACAATGGTTTTAACGCAACACTCTTATTTCACTTTAATACTATTACAGCCAGTTTCACCATGGAAATGATTTTCTGTCAACTTCCATATAATATTCAAAAAATTAAAATCATTCTTCATTTAAATCGCTTTCGTGAAATTGGCTGTTAGTATTGGATACAACCTACTTAGCAGGGTTGCTGCGAATATTATTCCGAGATAAAATCCTTTCCGGATTAAAAAACAAACCGCCTGTCCAAATTAAACCAGTTTGGTATCATATTAAAGAGGACTGAAGCTTAGCTTTAAAACAGAAATAACGAACGACCTCTATTAAATATTTTTTTTTTTTATAATTTAATACTAAATAAATTCATATACCTGACACAAGATTTGTTCTATGGTAGTTAATTAACATTTTTTATTGAAGTATTTTTCAATATGTGGCCCTGGATAACACAACAAGTTGTACATAACAGTTTTATAGTGGTATATTTCCGCAGAATTTAAGAGCTAATGCTATACCATTTTGCTCTATAAAACAGTCTATAAAACCCTTATAAGACTAAAAGGGCCCCAGGAGGCGGGGCTTCGTAGTACAAAATAATGCTCTATTATTAGTTTATAAATCGTATGTTGGTCGTTTTTAAAAGATCTTAAAGTAGTCTATAACATGAGTTTATAAAACATTTATAGTGTTATAAGGCTCTTTGTGTAGAGTCGTTGGTCCGACACTGATTCAAAATTCTGCGGCCAGCGCCTTATAAGACCTTCAAATGTTTTATAAGGATATTTTATAGACTACTCTTAACTTTATGCAACTACCAACATCCAATTTATAAACCAATAAAAGAGCAACATTTTTCTCTTCTTTAAAGCTTATACAGAAGTCTAACATCAGCTTTTGTTCTAAAGATTCACTCTGTGAAGCTCTTTTTGCAAATTGAAAAGTATAAAAAATAAATTGAAAGGTAAAATATTATGCTAAAATATATTTCGATGGAGAAGTAGTTCTGAACTGAAATAGTTTTCTCTTCCTGAAATATTTTATGAAAGGAAACGCCAGTTGAATAATAATTAAAGGACTTTGTATAATTTTTTCGGCATTTCTTCTGAATGTAATTTTATGAACGCAACGAGTTTTCCGGTAAAATCGGGATCGCTACCCTTGCTAAAATTTACGCGCTTGCGAAATTCTTAATTTTTATTAAACAATTTCGAAAATCATGTTTGTAAAAAAACTCATTTATACAATAAAAATCAAAACGAATCTTAAAAATGTGGCTTTCAATATAATTAATAGAACAATGAATCATTTTCTGTAATCAAAATTCAGGAAAAGTTAAGAAAATGAAAATTTTAATTTTTTCACCTTGCAAACTTTTTTTCATTACCTAAAAATACACAAAAAATATGGCGCTACAGCAAGATGTCTATTCAAAAACACTTATAAAGTCAATTAATCTATTCAAATCCAAAATGGTTTACTCGGAGCCCTTGAACATACTAATTCCTTTATGAATTGATCAAATGTAAACAAAACACTCAAATCCTAAATTTGAAAAGTGTCTACGTGAGGAGCCATGAATCGAGCATTTCCTCTGAGAATATAGAAACGTCATACAAAACGCTCAAAACGTGAAGAGCATTGAATAGAGTATTTCCTTTTTGTTTCTCTCTACGTTTCTCTTAGTGCAAAATTTTGATCTACAAAATGACATTTCGTTGAAAGTGAAGACTTTTTGCTCGTTTTGAGTTGCTTTTCTGCATTTCAATCAGACGATCGTTAACGCTTGTTGAAATTTTTATAAAAATAAGTCGAAGAAAATCTTTTAAAATTGGCCAATTTTGCAAAAATGAACGTCTTGGCACTGAAGCCTTACCAGAAGATTGGGAAGTTCCCAAAAACAATGGTTCCAGAAACGGAATAACATATTGGTTGAAAAGCGGTAAGATAAAAACATATTTTCAGTTTATTTTCATCATTCAATCCAAAAACTATATAGGCTTGAAAACAAAAATCATAGACCCGAATTCTCCTCGAGAAATTCGAAG